TAACATCTTGGGCGTTCTTTCTTTTTTGTTTTCTTTCTTTTTTGACCCCCCAAAGGCCATTTTCCCAACATTACAGAACATGTATACCTTGATAGTTGTGTGTGAAAACTTATAATGGGCACTTTGTGGGGTTGATAAGAATCTCATTGAAGGGAGCATAGAGCCTGTCTTAGACCTTAAATAGAGAATTACAATAATTTAGGCTTCAAAGTCAAAATTCAGATAAAGCAAGTAAAAGTTACTACTGTGCCTTTGAATTTCAGCCTCTACTCTGTGTATTAGTGGAAGGAAAACTGCATTTGAAGTGGTCAGCATGCAGATGTTGGCCATATGTTTTGTTTTCTCTCCTCTCTGATTAACTTAAAATCATTATGCACTTAACAAGTGTTCACTTCTCAGTAGTGACCCATCATTTCCAGTGTGAGCATATCCTTCAATATTTAGTTCCTCGGGAATTTGTACCTGTGCTTGACACAACTGGATAAAGGTTTGACAGTGCCCGTTGCAGAACCACATTGCAGTAACTGCCTTGGAATGCCAGTCTCATAGGGCTCCGGTCGTTATGGTCGAAAAAGGCAATGAAAGAGTAGAAGAGATTTACATTAATGTGTGCAGCCTTGACTGTTGAGGGGTACAGCTAGCACACGTGTTTCAGCATCCTTGCTCTGCTGATGTGGAGAAAACTTGCTGAACCATGCTTGCTTGGCCGTGAGTCTGGACTTTTCCAATCTTAACAGATCAACAGGCAGAGGCTGTTAATTTGAATTATGGAGGAGGCTCATGGTCTTTGGTGCATTAAACAACCTTCCCAAGGTTGTGCAGGGAGGGGTCTGCTGTACCCACTATATAGGGATGAGTGATTTTGTTGAAATCGTAGGTCATCCCTTAGGTTTTAGGTCAGTTTGAGGGTATTGAGTCTGATCCAGCATTGCTTTACTGCTACTTTATGGTTATGCACTTCCACTAATATACCTGGAGTTTTAGTCTACTATCTACTGGTAGTCTTTGGAAAATACTGACACTCCTAATTGTTTAATGAATCTTTAATGGAGCTTTTAGTGTGTGTGAGTGTATGCATATTGATGTGTGTATGCATATTTAGGTATTAGGAAAATAAGTAAGGCTGTTGAGAGACTCCTGCAAGTTCCAGGGAGGGGAATGTATGATCACAGATTGTAATAAGGTGTAAAGGTTTTCACTCCTTAAAATGGAGAAGTTGACATATTAAATTGGATGTAGCCTAATGATGTGGTCTGACTCAGAGAATTTGAAGGAAATAACAGCTGTGCACATCAAAGCTGAAAAATAGGAACTTCATCAGTCAGTAGCAGTTCAGAATGAAAGAAGAAATCACGGCATTATTACTTATGGTGGTTAGAGAAAGGAAACATAAAGTTCAAACTTTCTGAAGACAGAATGCTGTCTTCAGTCATGTAGCATGTCTGCTGGGTATCAGACCCTTGTCCTGCTGAGCCACTCTTTAAAGGTGGGGGACATTGTCCAAACATATGCACCTACTGATATATCAGATACCCTAAGATGACTGAGACTTCCCACCTGGCTGACTGATAGGACAAAAAGCATATGGAAGACTCCTGCCCTTCTGGGGTGGCAGCTGGATGCCCTGAGGCATCTCAGATGGCAGTAGATGCTTCTGTCAGGAGTAACTGCAGCAGACATAAGTACAGGCTCACTTTCACTTGCATCTTTAATACACAGTCACCTGAAGCTTATCAATAGTAGTTCATAGCAGTGTTTGCAGTGTGTAGTTGCAGAAAGCAATGAACAGTTATCTAATTTTAAACTTCAGAAAAATTTTGAGGTGAATTGAGCATTTACCCTCATTGAAATCTGACCAGGATATAAAGTTAAAAACTATCCTAGTGTTAAAAATTGTAGTTATAAACTATGATTCATAGTTGCAGTGGATGGCTGTTTTCCTAATGACCTCAGATTCATGAATTCATTCTAACATTTGCCTTTTTATGTATTCATAGTTAAATATAACTTGAATGTTGCCCTAATTACATTCTCATGTTAATTTAGCTCTGATTCAGAATTTCTATCACTATTCTTCATAGAATTATTTTGAAATGATGGAAAGTTCAGTAAAGATGCTCCAGTGTGTGATTGTGCCTTTGAATTATTTATCACATTGAAAGACAGAAATATGGTTAAAATCTAGTTTGAGTTGTAAATGAGCCTGGTAACGTAAGGAGGAAGTGAAAATCCTTTTTGCAGAGCAACATGGTTTATGGGCACATCATTTGATATTGCGGGAGTGCTCTGCAGCCCCACATGAGCAAAGAGCCTCATGACTGAATAGGAAAACATCCAGTGCACCAAGTGGCAATGTGGTAGGAGAGAGAGAAAGGTACAGAGACAACTTGCCCAGATGACAGAGCAGATTAGTGACAGACTTAAGAAGAGAAAACAGATGTCCTGTGCTGGTCACAACCAGCACTCTCTCCCTCTGCTATGAGCTATGGAAACAAAAGCTCTCCCAAGCGGCATTTAGCCCATGTTTTTCACAATGCATCACAGTGGCAAGTAGAACAGTGTTAACAGAAGGCTGAAGAAACCATGATTAATGCAAAAACTCATACTTGTGGCTGTGGCCCTGAGCTAGGTAGAGAACAAGCAATTGCTGGTGAGGCATGTGCGAGACTGAGAGGGTGAGAAACTGCTCAGAAGAAATTCTGAAGGAGAAAAGGAAACTTGTCTTAATGTAACCAGCAGTTTTGCTTAGAGGTAAGTGAGGGGAAATTCTTCATTTATAAATGGTTCATTGACCCATGATAATAAAGCAGTGCTGCAGAAGAAGGATAATTATCTACTTAAGTATCAGATGCCCTAAGGGTAAAAGCTTCCCTTCTTTCCTTTTGAAAAATGAACTCGGATTAAGTGAATGTCCTTTTTCCTGTTTTAGTGTTGACATGGATTTCCTTTTTATGAGTAAAATTAATTAGTTTTTCTATTCCTTTATTCCTGGTATGGAAATCAGGTCTGCCAAGCAAGTTTCCAGCTCTTCCCTTGGGCCCTAAGTTCAGCCAATAGCATCCTTTATGGAGGTGCTTTGAATAGTGTGCTGGGAAGGCACAAATGAATTACAGAAGATTTGTTATGCCCAATAGCTTGCCAAAAGGCACAGCATTTTGGAAGTAAACCCCACAAAACTAGGCTTTTTGTCCCTATCCAGGATTGGTTTATTTCCAAGTACCTGCTTTCTAAATACATAATTCTCCTTTCTTAAGCTTTAATATGGTAAGTTGCAACAAGCAAAAAAAGAGAATACAGATGGCATAGCTGATGCTGGCGGGGGGCAGATTTTCAACGCAGATTAAGACCCACAGCTGGGGCCAGTCATCTCCTGTTCTGCTGGGAACTGACTCAGAAAATTCCCTTTAGCAAATAACCATTACAGTCTTGTCTGTCCTCATCTGGACTTTGGAAAATGATCAAAACCTGCCCCTACTTCTTCACTTCCAGAAAATGTCTGGGTTTTTCTCCAATCAGAATTACAAATGCAATGCCTACGATAAACTTGGTGGATGTAAACATGTTGTCTGTCCATTTGTGGAAATAAATCATAGAATGGTTTGGGTTGGAAGGGACCTTAAGATCATCTAGTTCTGACCCCATCTCTTGCATGTATTAATCTTTATTCCAAATGTCTCATGCTGTTCTTGAAAATCAGGTTGATGTAACCTTTATGTGAACCTGTTAACTGCAGAGCATCTCCGAGTTACCTTCCTGGGAGTATAGAGAATATTCCTGAATAATCAAAGGCTTCAAGATACAGTAAAAGTAAAAATGACTGATACAATGGCAAGGAACTTAGTTTTCTTGAGTTGGTCCTTTGGATGTCTGCCTTAATACTGGAAAAAACAAGTTGTTAATTTTCATAGCCTTTGCTCATGGAAGTTCAAGTGGTGTTAAAGGTGATTTTAAAGTCTGTATTCTGCAAACATAATACTGTAAGTCAGAAAAAAAAAAGTCCTGTCTGTGGGGAATTAAAATGAGAATCAAGTCCCAAGTACCTGCCTGTTGGATTTACACAACTGAAGCTCTGCTAGTCTGGACCCTATTAATAATGTTATAAAATTGACTTTCAAGTGAGGAATCATGGCAATTATTAATTTCTGTGAATGCAGCAGATCAGATGACTGTGAGTAGTGCCTGTGTACTTCCATTGTTTACTTTATAGCTTCATTTCACTGACTTGTGAAGTGCAGTCACCAAGGTAGAATAAAACCAAAGTGTATTTACAGCCTTGTGACCACCATGCTTAAAAGCGAATAATCTTAATTGTCTTAATGTGTTTCTAAGAACACAACATTTAGAACAGGTGAGCATTCCTTCTGAACAGGATGTAGAAGTAAGTGATGTGCTATTAGCAACATATGGGAGCTTTTCACATTTAAGTACCTAAAATTAGAGGTGCAAGATCAAGATTTTCAGAAGTACATACCACATATGTGGAAAAGAATTGTAAAATTGCTGTGTCAGATCATATGTGCAAACCCTTCATAAATTCCCTTGGCTTTCCTCCATTTTTGATCACAAAAGGAAATGTCTCAGACTTTCTGAGGTGTTAAATATGAACATCTCCCCATCAAAGTGGTAACATGGAGTCTGAAAACTTTGATTTCCCTAAGACATTTCAGTCTTAAGACATCACAGGATCAGGGGATGGGTTGGGTTGGAAGGGACCTTAAAGATTATGTAGTTCCAAGCGCCTTGCCATGAGCAGAGACACCTACTGGACCTTAGTTCACTTGTTTTGCCCATATCTGAGGGATTTGAAGAATCTTCTGAACAAAGCATCTGAGCATCATATGATTCTCTGTATTTAGCCTTATTCTGTAGTTGCTGTAGCTATAATCCTCAGAGATAAAGAGTTTAGGCAATTCAAAGGTGATCAGAAGTGGGTACGGGCTGGGGACTGAGACACCTGTCTTTTTGGACCACTCCAACTTGCATTTGTGCCTTGACAATAGCACCTTCAGATGTCCTTGTTTGTCCTCTGCGGCCGGTGGAGCGTTTCCGTGACTTGTGTCCTGAGGAAGTGGCGGATTTGTTTTGTACGGCGCAAAGAGTTGGCAACGTGGTGGAGAAGCACTTCTGCAGCACCTCACTCACCATTTCAGTTCAGGTTTGTAAACCAGGCAACTAAAAGAGGCTTAATGGTTTGTTTTATCAAGCTTTCAACCTTCTTCCCTAGCCCAATGACAAAAGGACATTCAAGCTTCAAGGGGCAATAGATGCAAAATAATAACGATAAAAAAAGCAGCACAATGACTGCATTGCAGTCTGCCAGATTTCCCACTGAATTAAACCTAAAAGGCAAACTAGCAAAGTGTGGATAATTAGTAACTGCAAAACTTTGGAATAAGCCTGCAAACACTCCCAAGTGCAGTGCTTGCTCGTAAGTATTTCAGCAAATACTCTTGCTTCAAAGAAGTCTTTGCAGGATTGACCTAGAGAAGGCAGCCACATCACGCTGTCCAGCAGGTAACCCACTGCTTGTGATGGAAATAGGTAATTCCTCCTCACAGCTATTTATGTGCAGGCAGAGAGAGGTAGACATGTAAATATATTATCAATTCCAATCTTTCAGTTATTTTTGCTGGATGTTTTTATGCCAAAAAAAAGAGCTCTGTTTAAAGCAAATCATAACACTAAGCCTATTTTGTTAGAATAAGAATTTAAGTAACCATCCTTTGATTAAATTCTCACAGGTATGATTTTCTATCACAGGGATCAGAAATCTATTGCTAAGTATTCAAAAATGTGATCTGAAAGAATGATAAATGACAACTGTTGTTTTTTATGGTCTAAGATCTGGTTTCTCACTTTGCCGTGGTCTGAGATGGAAAGGTGTCTTTTCCAAAACCTTTGTGTTGAATGCTAAAATATACTAAACTAATACAGTACAATTCAGTGTAAATTATTATTGAGTAAGGTTATCTGAATTCCTGTGTGATCATTGTGAGTTCTTCTAACGTGAGACTTCTCCCTTTGCTTACAGGATGGTCCTGAAGCCGGACAAACGGTGAAGGTGAGTGCTTATAATGCAGCATACAAATTAAGAGACAATTATAAGAACTAATAAAAAATCAAAGCTAGTCATCTGCAGACCATTGCTCTATCTTTATTTTATCCTTGAGATCAAAAAATCCCAAGTGTACAATAGCTTTGAATACTTTTTACTGAATTTGCACAGGATGATGTTTACAGGTTTTCTTTCTAGGCAAAAAATTTCTATCATAAAAATATCTCCTCTAAGCTGCTGGGTGTATTTATGCAAGAAAAGCCTTAGAAAAGAGGCATCTGTTTAAGCCTTTTGTTTGTTTTATGGAGAAAATATTGCCCTTCCATTCATAATCTCTTTGTTTGTCTTTTTATTGCCTAATGAGTTGTAGCTAATTATAGGAACAGTTAAACTGAACCACATTATGAAAACATACCTTTTGTCTATGCTTTCTCCCTACATATTCATATCACATTCTTGTTACTGAAGTTCAAATGTAATGAAGCCAGTGAAGCTTAAACACAGATTTTAAGTGTACTTCTGAAAAAAAGATGGGGGGTGGAGGGGCAGAGAAGGATTTATGATTATACTCTCCACTTGAGTAATAACATAGATAACATCCAAGATGGCTCTCCAGCCATGTTTCACTGCCTCATAATGCAAATGCATGTGTAGTTAGATTATATGCCTGAACATTAGATAAAGGCTATTTTTCACATTTGGAATCAAAGGAAAGTCAAATATGGCTGTGGGTTAGCACTTTGTAAAATCAAATTAGATGTCTCAAAGAAGCTGTTTGGGTTGATTAAGATAACTGTAACAAGCAAATGATGGCATATAGAAACATTTTACTTCTTTCCAATTTGCTGCGTTGACCTTATTTTTCCTGCTCCTTTTTGTTGCCTGCTTTGAATATATAATAGAGAGGTAATAGGGAGAGAGAAAGAAGAAATCAGAAAGTTTCCAAGCTCTGGAAAGCCAAGGAGTGATGTAGGAATGTATTATAATTTACTTCAGTACTGTAACAAAACAGATTCTTGCTTTAGGTGGGGTTCACTGGGAATGCCTGTTGATAGGTGAAATGTTAAATACTTTCTGAAGTAAGCTTTGTCAATAGTACTGACATGTTTTAATAAGCAAATCACAGGATTTCTTTTACTATCTTGGACAATCGTTTTTTCTGTGTAAAGAAAAGGATACAGGAATGATTATAATAAAATTTTAGAAAATTTCCTAATATGAGTAAGCAAAACTAGATGTAAAAATTCCCATCTTCTGTGATAGAGAACAGTAACAAATGCTTACATAGGTCTTCAAAAGGCAAGAAATTCTGTATCATTTCATATTCCTACAGGAGACAAAGAGTGTGAAGGGTTAATCCAATATACTGCAAAATGGTAGCCATCCTTCGTGCTTCCTTCTCACGCTTTTAATAAGCAATGAGATGAAAATGACCTGGTCTTACAGCTGAGAGCCCCTAGATGCTGTAATAAAGTGTTTATTCATAAATCAGAGGTTAACAGTTTGCATTTCTCTACTTTTCTGCGTCATTGGACAACACTAATTTATCATCTTCACTTTGGGATGCTTATCATCTAAAAATGCCAACAACTATTCTCTTCAGAGTACTGAGAGCTTTCAAAGCTTGAATTGGAGAAGAAATTGCTATGATCAAGATCTTCTTTAGATTGAACAATCAGGTGGATACATAAATAGCTGGTTCCATTTAAACTGCTTGAATCAGAAAATTTGAATACCCACCTATGTGATTTACATATAATTCATGAACCTTAAATTCCATGTGTCATGTGTTCTCATACGTGTTTTTTTCATGTAGAAGAATGCAAAGTAATGTAGCCTTTCCTCTGAGGGAACTTTTAATTCGATTAAAATTTTAATTAGAAAAATATTCTAATAGTAAGAATAGGAATGTATCACAAAAAATACCCAAGGGAGTCTGGGGAGACTCTGTTTCAGTAGGGTAGTCAAGTGTATGTCAGGAACTGATTAGGTGTAGCTGTTCTTGCTTTGAATGGGGTCACATACTCAGGAATCCTTCCCATGTGTTGTGTAATTCTAGATACCTGTATAAATATAGGTTACTCTGTGTGCTATGTAGGAAAAGAATTGCAGGAAGCAGGGGAAGGGTACTGGCTGTTAAACTGATCAGTGCAAAGTACAAAATGGGAAGAGCTATCACCTGGCTGAAGACAAAAAGTGACTGAGGAACTTTATCTGAAAAAGATTAGGAAATTCTCTTTCTTTGTCAATCAGGAATGGAAACTCCTGTCCAAGAAAAATCTTAGACCTCAGTTTGAGTCTGTCTTTGCTATGGAGGTTCTGATAATTCTATGTGCAGTGCATGTGAAGGTCTAAAGGGTATTGCCCTTTCAGTATGATTTTGGATATTAATCAATGGTGAGATTGTCTGCCCATGTTATGTGTTCATTGTGCTGGTGTGGGCAGGTTTCAGTCCAATGTATCATGTACTGCAATGTCAGGATACTTGAAAGCCTCTTGGACTAAAACCTTTCTAGTTACCTAATGGGAAGTTGTTTAACATGTAGCTCTGACATTGCTATACTCTGTTGCTTGTGGATATTGTCCTACTTTGAATCTAAGCTAGCAGGGCCTGCAGGACTGCATTTTAGGGAAGCTTATGGTCCTTTCAAGTTCCCCCATTATTGCAGTCTGCGTGTTTGAATTGGATGGGTCCTTGAAAGATATTATACCTGACCCTTAGCTCACCAATACTTCAGAAGTGTAGCTGGGTCTTTTCTTACCCTTCAACAGCTGGAAATAGACATTTTCTAATGAATTCTGAACGATGTCCCAGGTCCATAAAATAATACAATATATTCCTGCATAATCTTTTTTGTAGCTGTCCTCAGATTGTGTCTATTCCAGACCTGTCACCTATTTATGAGAGGGACAATGTCCCTCTCCAGAGGTGGTCACAGACTTGCATACTTTGTGTTTTACTGGAAGAGATTGCACAAACTTATAACAGAGAACCCAAGCATCTCTGAGCAGTGTGTCAGCAAGCATAACCATCTTCCAGCGTTGAAGACAGTTTGAATTCTTATTTATTCTTACTTGAGAAATAAAGGAAATTATCTTTAGGTCCTCTCTTAAAGAATATTTATCTCTGCAATTTTCAGCTCTGTTTTTCTTGGTGAACACAAAACCCACGGTGTCCTTGTGCCAGGAATGGAGGGTGAGAGTTTTGTGCTGGTTCTGTTTGAGAAAGCCTTAAATATCCAGGCAATTTCATGGATCAGGGAAATCAGCTCTGCATCTTAATGCAGGGCTCTTATTACTATGTCAAGCAAGTGACGTTTCAAGATTTCCCTGGTATATTTTATAGCCTTCTTTTCAACATCAAGTCAGCAAATGCTCTAGCTGCCTTGGTAGATGTATAGCATAGCACAGAATAAACTCTCAGGTTTACCTTTTATATGAGATTCAATCACAAGAAACTCAGTGTACGCTGTACTCCATAAAGGCTAAACAAATCAAGCTGGCAGGAGCATGATGCAGCTAATTTATCTGTAGAGACAAGATAATATGGCACAGCAAGCGTCCATTGCACAAACACACATGAACACATACTCTATTCTGCAGCAGTGTTAAAGTCTCCAGCAGCTCAGCACCTCCACTGTTATCCATGAGTAAGTAAGTGCCTGTTTGCCAATTATCGGTTCACCTAAATAAATGAGGAAGCGAGGCTGACGGTGGCAGTGTGGGTGTACATGAAGAAATTGTATTTTATGTCACACATTCCACTAATTATTTTACACTGAGAAGATTGTCTCACGGTTAGTTTTTGATGTACATGTTTTTCTTTCCCAGATGTTTTTTTAATGCTGCGTTAAATCAATCCACCTGGCTTGGATTCTTTCGAAATCTTAACCTGAACTGTGGAGTCCAGGGTTTATTTAAGCCCACAGAAAGAGCAGATTGCTCTTTCATACTATTTGTCTACTTATCTCTGGACCTGAAGTACTGGACCTCAGGTTCAAGTCTTTAAATTTAATCAAATCGCATTGCAGACTCATTGCATCAGAAGGATTAAGTTCAGTAACTGCAATACTTTCGACGCCTCAGCCTTCTTTCCCTGCACACTGGCAGAAGTGAGTCCATGTTTAATGGAGTATTGAAAACCACCTTTGGATCTCTCAAAAGAGAAAAAAAAAAGATGGTGTTTGGGAAATGCAAAGATTTTTCTTACCTCTACACAAATATGAATATTCATGAAGAAAAAACATGGGAGAAAGAAGCAAGTTATTGAAAACCAGATTGTACTGAAACATGGGTACAAATGGTCTTGTTTGCTTTACACTTAAGAAGCATGATTCTCTTGAAAGCTTGAGGGATGTCCAGAAATGATTTGAAGTAGTACAACAGTCTCTGTGAATTGCTTTGAGAACCACACTAATAGTATTTGCTTGGAAGAATATGCAGTGTTGCAGATAGGTAATTGGTGCAGCAAATTCAGTAGTCTCAGGGCTGTTAAGTCTCATAATTTTCTTCCTATTTCTGTACTTAGATTGGGGTGGGTTTTGAGGGGATGTCAGTGTGTATATTTTCAAAGCCAGGATGGTTCTGCCCCTGTAAAGAGATGGGGAAGCAGAAGGGAAAGCCGTACAGTTTGTCTCCCCCTTCCTTAAAGCCTTTTGCTAACTCTTTGTTTTCTACTCACTGTACATAATAATTCTTGCCCTTTTCTTCAGGAGTCTTTTCAAATTCTGCGTTGTTTTGGTCTAATTCCCCTTTCAGTCCTTTAGCCAGACCTGTGTTTTCTATGATGAAATTAATAGTATAGCCCCAGAGTCCCAGTTTCCTCTTTGCTTTGTCAGGTCCTGTTCATTACATGTAACATTTAGTTCCTGATTAAACTGTAAGCTTTCCAGGAAAAGGGTCATACTGATTTTTAGTTTGCTATGCTTATAGTTCAAATAGACACTGGTAGATCTGTAACCCTTCCTTTAATACAAATAATAATATACAGGATCTAGAATGAAAAT